AAACTATCCTGGGTAGTTATCGCTACCCTCCCCAGAATGCACCTTGGTGGTAAGTAAAACTAATATTAGGATATGTGCTCTAATACTAACATACTCTTTCCCTCTTTTTCTACATATACTCATTATCTCTCTTTTTGACATGATGTCGTTTTATTCAAACGTATTTTTCTTTGTCGTCTTTTTACGTAAATATTTTCTTTTATTTTATGACAATGTTTTATAAAATCAACGTCAATAATTAATAAAAATACAGTATCCTCATTGCTGATGCTAAAGCTCTCATGGTTACTTAATATCTTGTATGTATGACGGTAAATACGTGCGAAGGGATTGCACTGGGCAAGCATAGCTGAAAAGTTTCTTATAATCTCGAAGTCCAGATTTTCATTCCTTTCTGAAGGGCGTGGCAATGGGAATATTCCCTGTCCATGCGTTCAATGTTCAATAGGCGAAGGGGAAAAAGCTGCGAAATTTATGCAACGAGGTCTGCATCACTTTCTGTCTCTGTACCTGATGGAGACTTCGTTTCCTTTGTCTCGCCGAGCTCGATGTCTACGACGCGTGACTACAACTTGTTCTCTACATGTTTGGCAAGCATCATGTGCTGAGTCAACTGGTAAAAGGTGACCTGGAAAGATGTACAGTTGGTAGTAAGTGCGGTAACGGTATTGTTGTTTATGCACTAATGCAAAATCAAACGTTAGTAAGTAGATCCTAGTGCAATGCCAAAATGGGATCAAGGTCCAACCTATGTATTCAGTAATAAAAAAGTGTAAACAAAAATAAATAAATTTGTGGGAACTTGGTAATTTATCCCTTTTTTGTCCCTCTTTTTTATTATTTTTACAATGCAATACGATAATCATCCACTTTTAATAGCTGAAATTGCCAGTATTCTATGTAGCTTTGTAGATACTAAGGACCTCTTTAGTCTAGCATTGACTTGTAGAGTGTTTTATCGATTTGCATCTGAGAGGCTCTGGCGAACGCTAAATCCAACTTCACTTCGAACGTTACGTAAAATTAAAAACACATTGGATAATAATACGGCGTATAATAAACTTGTTTGGAAATTTAAATGGTCAGCACGAGAAGAACATAGCTTAGAGCGACTCTTTTTCAAATCCTTTTTGTTTCCTCACCTGAGGGAACTTGAATTTTCCAATGCAGCCACGCAAGACTATATCGTCTATCCTATGATTGCTGCCTCTAGTCGTTATTTACGCTCGCTTAATCTGTCTCAATGTTACTGTTTATCGAGTGATGCAATAAAACCTCTTTTGCACATGTCACCGAATCAACTAGAATCACTTGTTCTTTATGGCTGCGGGAAGATGGATGCTCAAATGATGGTCGATATCATTCAACGGCACTCAAGTACTTTACAATGTATCCGATTGACAGATATAAACGACGCCATCTTGGATGCCATTGGACAATGTCTTCACCTCACCGACCTTGGTCTCGAGCACTGTACGTCATTGTCGAGTACTGCCCTGACAAGGTATTTTAGGAAAGCACCACAACTGACACACCTCCGTATGCGTGATATCAGTCAGTTGACATCTCATCATTTACGATTAATTGCAGATTCAAGCAAGTCGCTTGTCTATTTCGATATGAGCGAATGTAATCAAGTGAATAGTAGCGATGGATTCTTTCGATTGGCCATAGAATGTACATCACTAGAGACGCTACTACTTGCTTACCAGACAGGCGTGACCAATCAAGCAATGCAGGTAAAAATAAATAAAGGAATACGTCTGTCTTGAGCATTCATCGATTTTCTGTACGATATGTATAGCTCTTCCTTTCTCACTGTCCCTCTTTAAGACACGTGGACGTATCGGGCTGTCGATTACTCACTGATCACGCTTTTTTGCTGAACGACAATGACCTCCAACTTGAAACATTGAATGTCAGTGGACTTGACCTTCTCACATCGGACTCTATTCATCAGTTATTATCGAGACTATCGCGCCTAAAGGAGTTATGTTTGGGTGTAACTTATGATTTGGATGAAGCAGATAGAATCCTCGAAATAATTAATCATTGCGAAAAGAAGTTCTTTATTGATATTGAAAGATATTATACAATTTGTAGAATAAACCATACAGACACGAACATCCCAACACATCCTCATCCTCGACTAGTCCATCTACCATCAACAGATATTTCCTTACCCTCTGCTTCCACTTGGAACCTGCCTAGCCTTCAATAAGACGACGATATATCGTACATGAAAAACAAAAAATCATTCTAGCATTATATGTTTATTAGCATTTCAATCACACTTGTAGAATAATAATAATAGTAATAAGTAGTAGTAGTATATGATTATTATGAATAAAAAACTTTTTCTTCTTTTCCCTTTTTCTAAGCGCTGGATTCATGTATGGAATAAACAAAGAATAAGACCCAGGCAACTAAAAGAGCGGCAACAAAGGAACCAACGATAGGATAACTTGTCCATCTGGTAGGTGTATCGGTGTAAGGGTCCATGCCCTTGGAGGTATATTCGAGTTCTTTGTCGTTAATTTCTTGCATACGCATCGTACGAATGGTACGTCTGACTTCGAGCAAGTTACCGTAAAACTTGAACTGATTAGCCCAGAGGGCGATAATCAAGACGAACCCAATAGCAGCAAGGATGATGAAGACGAGCATGACATTGACGTAGCTCTGATTGGCAGTCTTGTCTTGAACGACACCTACGACCACATCCAAAATCGAGGTGCCTACGTTATTGGCACTCTTGTAGATTCCCAGACCAGTACCGATATATTCAGAGGGCAAGACCATACCAATAGAGGTAATCATGGCAATAGGACCAAAGGCCAAGGATATGGAGTAGAAGACCATGCCGACGGTAGCATCCACGTAACTCCAGCCAAGCAAACCTGAACTGAGGATCAAGAAGACGGCAGAAAGCAATAGGATGAGAACACGACAACCATAATAGTCCATGATGAAGCCAAGGATAGGAGTGGCGACAATAGGCACGACTTGAGATGCACTTGCCTTGTAACCAGCCAAGACTTTGTCGCTACCAAAGTGCATGATGACCAAGTCGGTAGAGATGGTTTGGAAAGAGGACCAGACGGCAGCGTAGATGAATTCGATCAAGATGATGTGCCAGAAGATGGTAGGGAACTTGAAGATGGAACGCCATTTGAATGTTTTCTTTTGCTTCAAAGCTTCACGTTCTTCCTTTGTTAGGGTTACTTGACCCCTAAGGTGACGCACGACAAGGGCATAGATTAAGTTCATGATGATGGAGAAGCCACAAAGGATGAATGAAAGCCAGAAAGCCCAGACCCAGTCACCTGTGGCAGAAGCGACTGGGTTCGCAACGAGTGTACCCAAAAAGGTCGAGAGACGACTAATGGATAGCTGAAGACCAATAGCAATAGATAAATGCTTTGTACGGAACCATTTGGACAGTAGAGATTCTTGCATGGTCACAATCAAACCACTACCAATACCAAAGACCACACGAGCAACGACCATGAGAGCGTAAGATTTGTATTTGGCAGCAAGGGCGGTCAAGAGAGAACCAAGAATGATCATACAGTTAATTGCCAAGGTACCCCAGACAGAACCAAACATGTCAATGAAGATACCGCCTGCAATAGGGAAAATTGTATTGATAATTGAGACAGAGGCAGAAATAACACCATATTTCGTATTAGAAATGGCTAATTCCTATAGTTTAACTTATTAAAAGACCATCCATATAAAAAAAATGAATGCTTGTTTACCTTCACAATGGATCTTTTCATGGCTGATAAAGCACTAGCAGAAAAGTGTGATCCCACTGAGATGATATGTTAGTTAGGTAAACTATTGTATATCGTGATCTTACAAGGAAATAACAAAGCCGTGACAAGGGCAATGATCTTAAACTTCCAGGGAGCATTGGCAAGGGCAGTGTCGCCTCCATAAGTCTGCTTTTGTTTCTCATTGTCTATTGACTCAATGGCTACTTTTTCTGAATTCGTTTCTTGCTTTTCTGTTGTATTCATTTATAATAAAGAATAAAAGAAGAAAAAAAAAGAAAAAAAGTATGATTATCTGATCTTGTTATAAGAAGCGGGTTGATCGGATACACAATTATCTGATTTTTTTATATTTACTCTAGTGTAATTCGCTCTTTTAAGAAGAAAAAGTGGAATGGTTCAAACATGTTTAGGTGTAACTGTTTAAAACGGGAAAGATTAAAATGGAAATACATTTGTACTTTTTGGATCCCAGGAAAAAGAAAATATCTATAAGCAAAGATGTAAAAGAAATAAAGAAGACATCGCTTTTGAAAGAGATAAAGTGCATTGCTTTTTTTCACACTTGGATTTCCCAACAACCCTTGCGTGGAATCTTTAGAAAGAAAGAAAAAAAAAATTCTTTCTCCTATCGTAACACGTATTACACAATTTAAGCAAAAAAAAAAAAAAAAGAAATAGCAAGCAAAAAAAAAAGAGTTATTATAAAAATATATACAACACATGGACAAAAATATATATATACATTGCATACAGTTGGGTTTAAACTACTTCCGGGTGTGCACGAGCATGGGCCAAGTATTTCTCTAATGGACTGATCTTGCTAGGTACCCATTCTCCATTATAGATACATAAAACACGCATTTGCTCATTATAGTAAAGGTCTGGAAGTAACTTGGGTGTGATCAAAAAGTACTGTGACGTACCCGAACGACTGGCTCCTTCGACAATTTGCTGATGGATCAATCTTTCATTTCGAGGGTCCATACCTTGATTGATTTCATCTACAACTCGGAAAGGTGTCTTGGCCAAACTCTGGAGTGACATCAAATAAAGAATGGTCGACACAGATCGTTCACCACCTGACTGTCGTTGTCCAGTCAATATCTGGAGCTTTTCCGTATTTCTAAACTTGACTCGAATCTGCACTCCCCACTTGTCAAAGTCTTCTTGCTTGTCAATTCCTACTTCACCTGCACATCCAATACGCTGGAACGCTTCAGAGAACTTTTCGCTAATACGCTTAATCAAACCATCAATTCGGGGTTCCCACTGCTCACGTAACTCAGTAATTTTAGTGTCGATTTCTTCCAAGTCACGCTTGCGTACGTCAATCGTTCTTTGCAATTGGTTGATCTTCTTCATTCTCTCCTCGTAGTGTCTCATCGCATCAGGATTGGCAAAACGGATAGCTGATGCTTCACCTTCCTTTTCTCTAATCTTCAATCCCAGTTCTTCCACGGTGTAAGTCGGACCATTCTCTTTCCAGTGCTTCACAATCGCCGTGAATTCCTCTCTCAACTCGTCAGGAAGTTCCTTACCAGCAGTCCTAACCGCTCCCATCAATGTCTTTACACGATTAGCCAACACATCATGTTCTCGCTTATAGCTTGATAATGTCTTTTGAGCCTCTTCTAGAGCAGACGCTTGATTTCTAATGTACGATTTGAGCGCGTCATATTTGGCCGTTGCCTCTATAGATTCCAGTTTACAACGGCTGCATGCTCGATAGGCTTCAACCATCTTTTCTGCAATGTTTGTATAATTGCTCAAATATCCTGCTTCCTCTTCAATCAATTCTTGAATCACTTCCTTACATCGGTCCATCTTCACTCGATCTTCCTCGGGCTCATTCTTTAGTTGATCTCTTTCTTCGACAAGTTGACGCAATCGTCGCTTTCTTGCTTCATATTGCTGAGCAGCGATATGGATATCTCTCTTTTGAGACTGTAAGTCTGATTTTTTGAATTCTAGCTCCCGAATGGCCTGATCAATAGTATCCTTTTTCTTGTTCAACTCTTTCAAATCTTGTTCGCATTGTTGCATGTTGGCCTGATGAGTACGAATAGACTCAATCAAGTTCCTTCTTTCTTCGTTATCCACTATTATATCATTGATTTAATTTTCTGCGCTTTTTAACAATAAGCAAAAACATACCTGAATCATTCAACACTCTGGCTGGTGGTAAATGGTTGACTTCCGTTTGATACGTTCCATGTCTATACCTATTGGGTCTGACATTGTAATAACTTTGAGCGGCTGTGAACTTTTGAAAGATTCCACTGTTGGCAATGTGTCTTTCATCCGTTGGTTTGAGAGATACGGGTATCATATTCATTTTAGTTTCAAGGCAAATATACTTTAGTAAGTACTTGGGCGCTTGGATAAGGTCAACCATATAGTGTTCAAACTTGAATTTTTCACGGAGCTCTTCTGTCGTTGTAGGCTTATTCAAAAGATCATCACTCAATTCTTCTGGCAAAGCAGCCGTTATACGCCACTTTTGTTCATCAGCAGCGAACCTTGTAAACTTTATATAATCTTCTTCGTTTTCAAAAACAATCGTCTATAGAAATAGATAAGATTTCGTTTTTCTTTTACTTTTATACTATGTACTTACTCTGAGCATGTTGCTACGGAAGCCACCCAGGATACGTTCGATATGTGATGCATATCGAGAGTCCTTCAAGTTGAGCTCTAACAAAATTGGATTATAAACTCTGCCCTTGAATTCCTGACGATGCTCCTTGAGCCAGTTGTAGGCCTTGAAAGTATCCGGATGGTATTGTTGCAAGTGTTGTAAGCGAATGTTGAGTGTGTTTTTCATGTCATTAAGCCTATTTACAGTTAATTAAACATTCATACAGTTGATATCATTCTACCTTTGATTTTTATTTTCAATCTGTCTGTTCTCTTGTCTCTTCTTTATTGCCAACTCTCTAGCTTCACTTTGTACTTCATCGCTTTTATCTCTCTGTTCGGATATTTCTCTATTAATGCTCGTCTACAATGATATAAGTATTCATTCAATTGCGTGTGCGTGAATTGGCTTACAATATTGGCTTCTATCTCTGAGGTATCATTACTAGGAGGCTCCTTAAGCGTCTCTTCGAGTTCATTGATTCTATTTGTCATGCTTCTCACTTTCTGCTCCTTTTCCGGAATTCTCTTTTCGATAGCTTTAATATCTGCTTTTCTAGCATCAATTCCATCTTTCTATATACACGATATCTATGAGTGTGCGATTATTTTTTGCCTTTGTTGTCCTTACAATAGTCTTGATTTTAACAAGCAGATCCTTTAACTCTTGCGCATATCCATTGCAATCCTTTGCCTCATCAGCATTTTTGGCTATTATTTTCTTTAGTTCATTTTCATGTTCCCTATAGAATGGGATTAGTCATGAAACAAGCTGGTAAAATTGAACTTACTTTAACAGTTCTTGAAGTGGTGCATATTCTGCATTCACTTTTCTAACAGTCGCCTTTTGTTCCTCTACCTGCCTCTTCAGCTCTTCAAGTTGCTTATTTACTTCAGAATATTTAATCAACGGCTCTTGTGCTTTCAAGAGCTCTACTTCGTTTAAAATCTTTTGTTTCTGCTTCATACGATCAACATCTCTTCTTAAATCCTCGTTTCTGGCATTCAGTGTAGCAAGATGGTCTATATCGGATTTAAGCATCTAGAGAGAAAGAAGATAAGAAAAAAACCGCGAGTAAATCAAACGAACTTACATGTTGCAATGCCTTTTGTTTCTTTCTTAAATCAATCAATTTTTGCTGCATTTCATAGAGCTGCTTTTCGCCTACGGCTTCTTGAGTCTTTTCGAGCAGCTGAGGAGGTGTCAACTAGAAGATGATTAAACACTAGATCTCTTTTATGGCTATAGACTTACTTCAGCAAACTCTGCAACACGATCCTGAGGCAAAAATTGACTATAAGAAAAATAGATGTAAACAATATATCATTTTCATCAATAAAAAAGATAGGGTTACCATAAATTGTCTACTTGAATATTCAAGCTATGAACAATATTCAAGACTTCCTTGTATGTCGTGCTTTTACCTATCGTAACTTTTAATACAAAGAACCCTGACTTGTATAATATTTACCATTCACTTTCCAAACAGTTGAGTTGCTTGATTTCTTAAAGCTTCTTTGAATGACAATATTTCGATCATTGACTTTTTTCAATTCGATAGAGATCGTTGCTTCATCTTGACCTGTCTTCACAAATTCTTGAATGTTTTTAGCTCTTCCAAGTAATGCAGGTGTACCACCAAGACCTAAAGCGATAGCGCAGACAATGGTAGACTTTCCTGTACCGTTGGGGCCAATGATCATATTCATTTGAGGGTCAGGAAACACTTCACAATAATCATACGTGACAAAATTAGTGAGTGTGATCTTTACGATTGAACCCTCTACAAAACTTTAAACAGAGAGTTAGTATTATTTTAATGTTGTAATAGTCAGCATACCCGTCTTCTTCATCAATGGGTAAAGCGATATCATTATGTTCAATAAGACTAGGAGTTGTGTTGGTTGTCAAAATTTCCTCTAAATCATCTTCTTCGCTTGGGCTACTGTCATCGTCTAGTCTTTGACGCTTTGTGGAAGCACATTCTTCTTCTTCTTCTTCTTCTTGATCTTGATGCCTTTTTGTTGATCCCGCAACCATTAATTAACAATAAAAAGAAAAAAAATTGGTACCTCATCCTTTTTATCGCGTTCCAACTCCGCTAAAAGCCAAAAAGAGATTTAACAAGTATCCCTTTATTCCGCATTAATTAACACAAAAGAAAGACAATGCTCACGTTATGGACCTTACCTTATCAAATGAGAGAGAGAGAGGCAAATAGATATGGAATATGCATAGTGACAAGATGATAAATACATGATTATACACCTTGTGCAGATATTCGTTCTTCTTACTGCAGCCATACACAAGCATAAAGATAAGATGATGCGATGTGTATACAGAGCTTATCTGCAACTAAATATGCACCTCAAACCATAGATGTATCTATACCAGTGAAACATGCTGTATATTTTATAAGAATGACGTTATCAGATCGTCTTTTCTCCCTCTCTTTCTCCAATAACAAGCGTGTACGATGATATGGGTGTCAGCTTGACGTAAAGAAGAGAGAAATTTCGTTCTTTTTCTTTTTATTATTTGATCAAACCAATACACGCCTATATGCAACTCTGGAAGATATCTACCCTAGTTTTATTGGCAGCCAAGAGTATCTACGGTCAAGATGAACAAGTATATGACTATATTATCGCTGGTGGTGGTGTATCTGGCCTCACTGTAGCTAGTCGATTAAGTGACAATCCTAATGTCCGTGTGTTAGTGATTGAAGCAGGACCTATAGTAGAGGACGATTTTTCGATTTATGCACCTGCCATGTAAGCATAAGATATAGGAATGACATGCTGTATCTGACTCGAATAAGGTACGGTAAAGTGATTGGGTCTGATCTCTGCCCATACCTTCCTACTGTTCCGCAACAGCATATGGAAAACCGAACGATGCAGATCCCAGCTGCCCAATTGATGGGCGGTACAAGTGCATTCAATGGTTTAGTTTGGGTATTTGATCATTTCTACAAAACCCCTGGCATACACTCATCCATATAAACTAGGCTCGTGCCAATCTAAAGGACTATGATGCTTGGGAGGAACTTGGTAACCCTGGGTGGAACGGTGCACAGCTATTTGAATACTTTAAGCGCGCCGAAAGATTCAATTCACCTACCGAGGATCAAATTCGGTATGGTGCTCGTTACCAACCAGATCTTCATGGAACGAATGGACGACTACACGTGAGTTTCACCAACTACGAACTCCCTCAATCGGGTAAATGGAACATTTCGATGGACGAATTAGGGTTTGAAGTCTCTCCTGACCTGATGAATGGCACAATCCATGGTTTTTATGCAACGGTACCCAACACACTCAATCCAAGAACGATGCGTCGAGAGGATGCATATGAAGGATATATTGCACCGTTCAAAGGAAGAGACAATTTGTCCATTATGGCAAATCAGACAGTAAGTCGTGTATTATTAGAAAAGAACAACGCGACAGGCAAATTAGTAGCAGTGGGTGTAGAATATGTTCCAACGAATGGAGATCAAAGCCATAAAACGATCATAAAGGCGCGACGAGAGGTCATTCTATCATCTGGTACGTTTGGTTCTGCCAAACTATTACAACTCTCAGGCATTGGACCCAAAGAGGTACTTGAACGAGCAGGAGTAGATATCTTGTTGGATCTACCTGGTGTTGGATCCAATCTGCAAGATCACGTCCATGGGGTGGCTGTGTCTTATACAAACATCAGAGGTTACACAACCGATAGCGTCTCCATAAACCAAACATTGGCTGAAGAGCAGAAAAAGGTATACGAAGAAAACAAGACGGGGCTCTGGACAGTAGCTCCCAATAATCTTGCCTACCATTCAGTCCAGCAGCTATTCAAAGATACATGGTTACAATCTGGAAAACGTATGGCATCCCTTATTCTCAATTCAACCGAAACATGGGCGGATTATTACGCAAAGATAGGTGCATGTCATCCAGAACTGCTCAGACGACAGTACGAGATCATTGCATCTCGTTATCAACAAGAACATGTTGCGCCTATTGAAATTAATTTTTCACCTGGTTATGGTGGTATGAAAGAAGATATTGATCTTGAACATCACAAGTATCAGACAGTGAATCATATTCTCTATGTTCCTCTCAGTCGAGGTTATTTCCATATTCAGTCCACAGACATTCAAGACAATGGAGTGATCGACCCTCAGTATTATTCTCATCCACTCGATTTGGATATTCACCTCATCTCTGCTCGATATGGTCAACGTATCCTTACATCTCGTGGACTGGGAGATATCAATCAAGGTAATATTGAACCTAAAAATGGAAAGAGTGATGAAGAATTGAAAAAATGGTTGATACACAATGTTCGTTCTGATTGGCATCCTGTTGGTACATGTTCAATGTTGCCTAGACAACTAAATGGAGTGGTTGACAGTGAATTGAGAGTGTATGGAACAAGTCATCTAAGAGTAGTAGATGCATCTATTATTCCATTGCATATTTCTACGCACATTATGCAAACCGTGTATGGCATAGCTGAAAAGGCAGCTGACTTAATTATGTAAATATTTATGATTGATCTGCAAACCATCAAAGAAAAAAAAAGATGTTGAAACGTGTTTAGATTTTTAAATAAGTTTAAATTTAAATTACACAAAAAGGGATGAAACAGATACATCTTTTTTTCTTTTTTCTTTTTATTTGTGTTGAACAAGAAAATAATAATAAAGTGTTTGAAGAAAACATAGAAAATACAAAGAAAGAGAGATTTATTTTATCATCTTGCATAAACACTTTTTATAAAAAAGGGGGCGCGTGTGTGCGATAGAATACTTTTTTTTCTTCTTCTTCTTCTTCTTCCCTTTCTTTCTATTTTAAAGATGGCAGAAATAACAGAAGATACAAAGACGCCTCTTCTTTATTCAAATAATGTGAACAAGAAACATTTTTCAGTAACAAAAGATAATCTAAGCCAATTGGTCGAACATCCTTCTTTACTGTCATCTTTTGGTGGTACTTCTGGTCTCTGTCAAGTCCTTCAGGTGGATCCTACTGTCGGTTTATTACCTGATGAATCATTCAATCCAAACTATGGTATCGTCCCACAAGAAAGTCATGCTCCCTTTGTAGATCGTAAAGCCATCTTTGGTGTGAATGAAATACCCGAGGCTCCCGTGAAGACTATCTGGCAATTGATTTGGGCTGCTTATAATGATCAAACACTCAGTAAGTATAGAATAATATTTGAATATTGAACGGTGGCTCTAATTGATTAGTCATGTTGACCGTCGCTGCTATCGTATCCCTCTGTGTTGGTATCTGGGAGGATAATTCAGATAGTCATCCTGCTGATGAACCCAAAGTTGGATGGTACGTTCACCTTCAATTTTTTTTTCTTATCCTAACCTTTTCCCAAACAGGGTAGATGGTGTAGCCATTCTTGGTGCTGTTGCCGTTGTTGTGATCACAAGTAAGCAATACACTTTATAGATATGATAGAATATTTAACATTTCTAAATAGATGCAATCAACGACTACGAGAAGGAAAAACAATTTAGGAAATTAAACGCAAAAAAGGAAGATAGACCAGTCAAAGTCTTACGAGGTGGATTAGCTCAGCAGATTCATATTCAGGATGTTGTCGTAGGTGACATTATGTTTATTGAACCGGGTGATCTTTTGAATGTCGATTGTATTTATGTTGAAGGGTAAAAAAAAAAAAAAAAAATCACAGCAAGAAGGGGGCATAACACGTTATATATTAGTCATAACCTTCGTTGTGATGAATCTGCTGCAACGGGTGAATCAAATCCTGTCAAGAAAAATGAAGATACAAAGGGTGATTGCATCATCATCAGTGGTTCTAAAGTGCTTCAAGGTGTTGCCAAGGTTCTTGTCATTGCTGTTGGCGAAAACTCATTTTATGGTAGAGCCATGATGGTAAGTACAATGGTGTACACAAAATGCATTAGGCTTAACCTTATTTTAGCTAATGCGTAACTCTGAAGAAGAGGCCACACCATTGCAACTCAAGCTCAATGTTCTCGCTGACCAAATTGGAAAGTTTGGATTTTTGGCTGCTGGTTTGATGTTCATGTAAGTAATTACAAACAAGAAAGTGCTTATACTAATATGGTAATTAGTGTCTTGTTGTTTAAAATGCTTGTCCTGAGCTATATGAGCCATCACTGGATTTCTATGAATGAACTGTTAACAACACTCATCAGTATCGTCATTCAAGCCATCACGGTCATCGTCGTGGCCGTACCTGAAGGCTTGCCTATGGCTGTCACCTTGGCTTTGGCCTTTGCAACTACTGAGATGCTTAAGGATAACAATCTGGTTAGACACTTATCTGCTTGGTAAGACATCAGCATTAATTCACTCATTTACATTCAAACTCAGTCTTGTCATAGTGAGACCATGGGTAATGCTACTGCCGTATGTTCTGATAAGACGGGCACTTTGACCGAAAACAAGATGACAGTCGTCAGTGCTTCTGTAGCTGAGAAACAGTTCACCAGAACTCATGATATGCAACGATGGCGATACCAAGTGAATCCCTTGGCCTTAGACTTAACCATTGAAGCCATTTCAGTCAATTCAACTGCATTCGAAGGCAAGGATGGAGAAGGACAAATCAAGTTTATTGGATCGACTACAGAATGTGCCATGATCGAATTTGCTCGTAAGCTCGGCTACTCTTACCAAGACCATCGTGCTGCCTCTCGTTCCGCTCTGATTTACCCCTTCAGTTCCACTGTGAAGAGTATGACGACCGTGATTGAAGTGAATGATTGTAACGCTCGTTCCCCCGACCGCTCTCAATACCGTGTGTACACCAAGGGTGCTGCTGAAACCATCATCAAGGCTTGCACACACTATATGGATATCAAGGGACAAGTCCGGCCAATTGAAAGCCACATTCGTGTCGAACAGGAAATGTTGGTGAATGCCTATGCTGAACGCTCTTTGAGAACACTTGCTATCGCTTACCGTGACGTCGACCGAGCTACCTTCATTTCGTTCAGCCCTGATGATGCTCCTATTCATAATCTCGTCTTGCTCGGTATCGTCGGCATTCAAGACCAACTTCGTCCTGGTGTCATCGAATCAGTCCAAGCCTTCCGTCGTGCTGGTGTCTTTGTTCGTATGATCACAGGTGACAATTTGGAAACAGCAAAAGCCATCGCCAAAGAATGTGGTATCCTCACACCCGGCGGTATAGCCATGACCGGTCCTGAATTCCGCGCGCTCAACTCACGCGAGCAATACGAAGTCATTCCTCGTCTTCAAGTCCTTGCTCGTTCATCACCCATCGACAAAACAATCGTCGTCTCTCGTCTTCAGGAACGTAATGAAGTGGTAGCCATGACAGGCGATGGCACAAATGATGGCCCTGCTCTCAAATTGGCTAATGTTGGGTTCGCCATGGGTATCACCGGCACAGAGGTCGCCAAGGAAGCGTCTGATATCATCCTCATGGACGACAACTTCAACTCTATTCTCCAAGCTCTCAAATGGGGTCGTGCCGTGAATGATGGTGTTCGTAAGTTCTTGACCTTCCAACTCACTGTCAACATTGCTGCCGTAGTCTTGTCCTTTATCAGTGCTGTCGTCTCTGAAAAGTCTGAAAGCATCCTCAGTGCCGTCCAATTGCTTTGGGTCAACATGATCATGGATACCTTTGCTGCCTTGGCTCTTGCTACCGAACCCTTGACAGACGATCTGGTGAAACGTAAGCCCCTTCGCAAGGATAGCAGCTTGATCAACTGGCGTATGAGCCGTATGATCTTTGGCCAAGCCTTCTTCCAGATCGCTGTCAATCTCATCCTCATGTTCCATGGCCCCGCCCTCTTTGGACTCGATCCTTCCAACACCAAGGTTCTTCGCACCATGGTCTTTAACGTCTTTGTCTTCTTGCAAGTTTTTAATGAACTTAACTGTCGCCGTATCGATGACCGTCTCAACATTCTCCGTGGTATTACTCACGATCATCTCTTCCTCATCATCCAAGGCTTTGTAGTCATCAGTCAAGTCATCATCGTCCAGTACGGTGGCTTGGCCTTCAAAACAGTTCCTCTTTCTCTCTCCCAATGGTTGATCACTATCGGCATCGGCTCACTCTCTATTCCAGCAGGTACCTTCATCCGTCTCTTGCCTAACCGTCTGCCTTGCTTTTGGAGTGAGAACAATGATGATGAATTCAATCATGAAATCAGCTATTCTCGTCTTTACTGGGAAAGTGCTGTACAACATGTCATGAAGGATGTTCAAAACAAGAAAGCCGTTCATGAATACAAATTTTAACTAGTGTTGAATTAGACTTCCCTTCAACAATAACAAAACTTGTTATTATTTATGTGTATATTTCCCTTCCTTTTTTTTATCCCATATATATTCATATATTTATAAATATACTTCCTTTGATTAAAGTATGTGTTTATTCATTTAAATTACAAAACCGTGTGTGCCTTCTATTACTTTTCTTCAGTTGGTTGAGCCTCTTCTTCTTCTTCGTCTTCAGCTTCCTCTTCCTCATCAAAAGCCAAATCGTCTTCAGAAGGAACGAGATAGACACGAAGGATAGGTCTGTTGGGATCCTTCATCATGATATAAGTGCCTTCAGGCAACTGCAAGCACATATCGACGACAGCCTTGACAATACCCCATCCGTTGGTCAATGACAGATTCATCTGAGCAGCGAAATCACGAGGCTTGTATGCTTGAGTACCGAGGATGACGTGACGTGAGTTGTCCTTGGGATTGGTACGAGCGACATAACCAAGCTTGAGTTGATCGGCGTCGGCAAGGATGGCCTGAACGGCCCATCGAGCCAATTTGGCTGCGTTGTTTCTCATTTCGGTCGCCACGACAGCACCACGTTGTGAGTCCAAACTCTTCTTCCAGGGCAAGGCACCACCAGATCCTTGGGCGGTAGGATCAAATTCGTTAAGCGCACGAACGGTAATATAGTTTGTGTTGTTGCCCATCTTGACAGCAGCGTCAACTTCGGTACGGACCAACATTTCAATCTTTTCTGCACCTTCTTCACCATTGGTCATATCAAATAACTTGTAACGGTAGCCGCATGAGGCCAAATCTTTCTCTGTTTCGGGTGTGGCGAATGGATTGGGATTATCAAAGTTGATAGAACTCTCCTTGCTGAGAACCTGTCTTGAGAAGTTTTGGTTGATATAGGTGGCTTCGTTGCAGAGTGCAGACCATGAATTGATCATGTCCTTGTCACTTTCAACTGGAGGATCAAATGAGTTTTCGTTGACTGTCACGAAATCGGCAGCACTGCCAGGTCGCTTGTCGAGGATGACCTTGCCGTCTTCTGTCTTCTTGACGATCACGTCCCAGGGGTAAACCGTACGAGGAGCACACATCAAGAGGGCAAGTACGACATCTGTAGCGAACACCTTGGCCTTGTTTTCTTGAATTTGCTTTTGGATCACAGGGTCTTCGGTTGTCATTGAGTCGTATTTGACACGTTCGATGTGTTGCAATGGTTTTTCATTCTTGGTATTGACACGATCATATGCTTTATCATACATATTGACGAAACCATATGAAGCACTAACAATCCCAGTAAGTCTCTCTTCCTCTTATATACACACAAACACTTACATTTCAGTAGCAGGGGGAATAGCAAAGTTCAATTTGCTCAAACGACTAAATTCAATTTCATCCAATACTTTCCAATCAGGTCCAATTGTAATAGAAGCATTACGAACACGTTGAGGCTTGTCGTAGTCTTTGAATCCATAACGTTTCTTTTGTTGACCGTACTTGGAAGCAGTAGCAGTATTGCCAGTACGTTGGCCGGTAGCACGAGTTTGTTTGGTGGGTTGAGTGCGAACGTTGCGAGGAGCGACAGCCTTCATGGCCTGCTTCTTGGTGGCTGTGGAACGGTTGTCGACAACAGCAAAAGAAGATTCGTCTTCATTGTGGAAGTAAGCAAAAGCAGAAGCAAATGAAGCACCATAGGCTTGTGGTTGTTCTATTCAAAAAAGCTTTAGTTTCCACAGTTTTGGTCTATAATATATCAAACCTTTGTTGAAACGATTGAATCCGGTTCTGCCTTGACGAGTAGTTTCTCGGTTATCTTGCTTTTGGCCTTCAGGATTGGTCCAATCGGCTACACGACCCAACTTGTCTCCCTTACTGTAAGGTGCATAAGGAATATCTTTGAACTGATCAGGAACGAGATCAGAGGCAGGTCCCCATCCGCCTTCGTAATCGAAAATAGAAGGGAGTTGAAAATGAGGTTTGGTTGAGTTGGCCATGTTAAAGAGAGAAAGGAAAGTTCAAAAAAAAATTCAGAAAAATTGTTCTTACATGAGAAACCAGTCACCTTTTTACCTTTTTTTTACTTTGCCTCTTCTCCAAACTTTTCCGCTTCTCGAATGGCTGAATCATTACCACAAAGTATACAATCTTTATTTGGCCCTGTTGTGCTTGAAATAGACCAAGCCATTACATCTGTTCAAGTTAGCCAAAAGGAATTGAGTCAAGAAATGGATAAATTGACTTCAGGTATATAAAAGTCTACATGATTTATTACTACATTCAAACAAAACAAATGGCGGATCCAACCATTAAGGATAGACTTGGAACAGTTTTCTGGTATTGCAGAGCCTCCTAAACTTCAGTCATGTTTAGACAAGTTGATGGAGTCTAAAAAGAGATTAAACTCAAGTAGTGCATTGATGCAACAAATTACTGAACGTGTAGAAAGAATTCAAAGCGAATTGTCAAAAACGTAAAAGGAATATATTTGTTTTATATTATCTTTTTGCTCTCTGCACAACAACTATACAAGTATATAATAAACAGATACCCTTAGTCCTTTGATTTATGAAAATTAAGGGTAGAAATAGTACGTTCAAGCGTCCCTCATGTTTATATACAGCCACACATAATTCGGTTTCGTACTAATAAAAACTGAAGTCAAAATTGTGTTGTTTTCTTGGCAAACACTTGGTGCACTCAAAAATAGACTAACTCTAGGCGCGCTACCTCTACCCACTACCTATGATGTCGCCCAACAAAGCTTTTCAATGTGTAGTGTCAAGCTAAATACGAGTTTATAAAATCCCATCTTGGATTGTTTCTTTTCAAGAAGAAATATTGTTATTTATTTACGTATGTTGTCATGTGCCATCAACAAAGAACCAAGGTCAGTCGCGTGTAATTATGATAAATTCGTATATTATATCAGAGATGTTGTGCCATCACAGCATTGTCAATAAATATTTGTAGTAATCGTTACTCCGTTAGGAGTTCTTCCATATATGACCTATCATATGCGAGCTTACTTTTAGAGCGCCGTTACAATGCTTAATTAAACGTCTGTGCTCTAACTTCCAGGTCAACGGTTCCTTATTCGACAAGACATTGTCAGATCATGTACCACCTCATCAACAAGGCACCTCGAACATACATCGAACCAACAGTTAATACTAGCTAGGTTCTTCCCAGCTATTCCCATTGTAGCTCGACGCTTATAGGTACGCTCATGATATCCAATTATCATTGTTGATTGTAGATGTTAAAAAGTATAAATACCATTGTTTTATTCATCGTAAATAATGATATCATATATTTCAGTCTCACTGACTTATTATCCTTTTCTATTCTCTTCTCATCTTATTAGCTTTTGTCTTTTACCTCTGTACCTGGCAAAATATGCATGAATTAGAACCTCGACAGGCGTATATTTTCATCGTTGATTATTCTTTAAGCGAGTCATCTAACTATTATATCAGCGCTCATCTACTTTGAAATAGTATAAATAGGAATACTCTCAAGACTTCCATAAATCGGATCCTCTTTCGGTATAAATTAAGTTCTCTAATAAAGAAGGATTTTAATTTATATCGTTGTCCTTTTATTCTTTTTAATTGACCATACTTTTGAACCATCCGTTCAAAACAGTACTGGTAGCAGATACCAAAAATGGTGTAGAATTGGATATTTGTTTGGGTAAGTTTAAAGTGTAAGTTTTAAGCTATAAAGTCGTTTATGATGGTGACCACCAGATCTATAACAGATCAAATAAGCAATTGAGTTATAAAGTATAAAAATAAAGTAATTGGTTAAAAATAAAAAGGTACAAGGACTATTTCGATCAGTAGTATGAGGCTGATACTAGATCAGAAGGATTTTTAAGTAAATAATGAAAAGAAAATAAAATAAAAAAAGGATTATAAATCTTTTAAAGAAAGGATTTATAAGCGAGGTGAAAGAATATAAGGATAGAAGGGTAGTTTTATTCAAATATTCAATGTCTTGTCCAAGAAGGACGCAACGAGCAAGAGTATTTATACTGTAAGATTGTATATTTAGGTACAGTCAGTCATGACTGACTGAGTGTCAATGTCAGCCGTGGTTGACGGAGTACCAATGCTTCCTAGGTGGTGCAAAAGTACCAAATCTGTCACAATGGTATCAATATTTAAAGTTTTTTTTTGAAAACTGTACTACATTATATTATTTTTTTTGTTAGTTTCCTTTTTGGGATGACTTAGTCCTTTGACGACTTCGTCCTTTGACAACTTGGTCCTTCAACGATGTCGTCCTCTGAAACAAATTTCCAAAAATAGTAGTTACAGATCCTCCCAACTACAAAAAGGATCGTCCTCGATTCTTGTGTGCATCCAATCGTCTTTTTCTTTCAAGTTTTTGATTAATGCGCGGTACATTGTATAATTTGGTACGAAGTCCTTTAAATGTAAGTGACGAGCAGCGGTGTACATCCTGACGCTAAGTCTAGCATTTGAAGGTTTGCGAAACTTTGAGTGGGACCATACAACTACGTCGTTTGCGAATTATTGAGCCAATTCTTGCTTAAGCTGGCTCAGTCTTGCATATTCTCTTGGTATACCCTTGTACTTTTTGTATAGTTCCTTGATCTTTTCTTCCAGTATCATTCTTTTGATGTATTCTTCTCCGATTGCCCACGACTGTTCAATTTCGTTTTGCTCATTGTTAGCTTGTTCTAGAATATCTTTATTTTCTATTTCTTGTATAGGTTCATCTTGAAGCTGGTCTTCGATAACCGCCAAGGGTAATCCTTGATCATCTTCATCATCAGGTAGAATGATAAGATTGGCATTAAAGGCTTCTGTAGCACGCCTTTCTACATCTCCCATCAGGAATTCTACCAGAACTTCTCTAGTTACTTCCTGGTCTCCAAGATGATATGTATAGATCCCATCGTATTCTTCACGAAAGTTCAAGAAGTCATTAAATGCATAGCAAGCAGCATCATAACCTTGTTCTTTGTATAGATCTACCAAGAAATCTCTCAAGAAAGCTTCATAAGGTGGAATAGCATCAGAAGTACTAGAGCTTATTTGTTCTTGAGTATTTGAGTTCATGTTTGTGATTATTTGCTTCTCTTTTTTTTGAATTTCGTTCCTTTTTATATGTTTTCGTGTTGTATCTTTAACAATGTTGTCATTGAAGTAGTTCCTGCGTTTCAGAATCCAAGATTGTTGGGATAGTTCTCTCGTGTTCTTCAGTCCAGTTTATTTTTGGAACCATATAAGGTTTCAAGCGATTACCATGGACTCTTCTTAATTTAGTATCTTGCGTGTCGTAATTCTTTATATGGTACGTTTCTTTGCCTAGAACTTGATATATGATGAATGGACCTTCCCATCGGTCTCGTAATTTTGCCGGCCATGATGTTGATAAGTAATCTTTGTAAAGTAATACCACATCTCCAAGTTTGAATGATGGCTTTAGTTCCATGTTTGACGTCTAATGCAATTTGATCAAAAGATTTGATTGATACAGGCAAAGGATATAATTCTTCGTTTAAAGTTTTCTTTCCATGCAACTGGCAACGATGGCATTTCTTCACATATTCCATAGTATCCTTGTTCATTGAATCCCAATAATATCGTGATGCAATCTTGTGCAAGGTATTGTTATATGCCAAGTGTCTACCAAGAGGATGCTGATGATATGTGTACATAATCTCTTCTACTTGTTCTTTGTTTAGGACTTTTCTTATGCTTCCATTTTCAGTGTTGTACCGATGTAGGTTATATCGATAGATGGTAAACTTGTGTGCTTCTTTTTTAAGGTACTTCTTTTGCTTGTTAGTAAGATCTTCAGGTAGCTTTAGGTCTTGCAGATACTGCTTGAGTATATTTATGCGTTCTTGTTCCATTTCTGACTTGTATATGTTACAGGATTAATTCTGGCTTGTGATGTGGTACAATACGATCTATTTTGGGCTTTGTTGTTTGTTTGATTTCCAAGAGTTTCCAATATGATATTTACTTCACTGTTATCCTCTTTGTTATATTGTTGTGTTATTGTATTCGCTGTATTTTCTTTTTAGGTAATGCAATGTATCCTGTGATTGTACTGAATGATTTTTTTTTTGTTGTTTGTATTGAAGTTTGGTTCAACCATGTCCTTTTTGATTTTTGTATTGTTTTTGTGATTGTTTTCTACATTATATTTCAACTACCCTCCCATCCTCCATGTAGTGATTCCCTTATTTTATAGTATTTTATGCTATTTTTAGGCTTTTGTGGTGTTATGTATCATCTTCCCTCCCGTCCTCCGTGTGGTGAATAATAATATGCAAGTTGATATGTTTATAATAGTATATTGATATGTGTTTAGTATCCCAGTCTTGATAGGAAATCTGCGCTTTCATTGACACGTCCAGGTCGATATTTGATAATAAATTCGTATTCTGTCAAGGTAACTATCCATCGTGCAATGATTCCAGTTGGGTTTGATGTTTTGAGTAATCCGGTTAATGCTGAGTGATCAGTGATAATGGTAAACTTTCTTTCAAGCAGATATGGTCTAAATAATTTGACTGCCCAGACTACGGCTAAACATTCCAGCTTTGTTGGTGCATAATTTACTTCATTTGGCTTAAGACCACGACTTGCAAATACAATAGGGTGTTCTTTTCCTTCTTCATCCAATTGTGTTAGAACACAGCCTAGTCCTAATTTCGATGCGTCTGTTACTAAAATGAATTCTTTGTTAAAATCAGGTCTTGCTAATACTGGTGCGGTTGTCAGTTTCTTCTTGAGTGCTTCAAATGATTTAGTTGTTGCTTGAGTCCATGGAATTTTCTTCTTAGTCTTTGTTTGGTCATGTAATGGTCTTGCGATAGCAGCAAAGTCTTTGATAAACCGCCTATAGTAGGAGGCTATACCTAAGAATGCTCTAACTTGTGTTATACTTTTGGGTCTTGGATAATCAATAATCTTCTTAATCTTGTCAGGATCTGTGTGTATACCATCTTTGGTTACAATATAGCCAAGGAACTTCAAATGGTCTTTAAAGAAGAAGCATTTTTCTGGATTGAGTATAAGATTTGCTGTTTCGATGCATTGAAATACTAGTTCTAAATGATGCAGATGTTCACATTCGTTGTCCGAGTATACGTTGAGGTCATCAATATAGGCTACTAAGCATTTACTGATTATCGGTCTGAAACATAAATCAATAAGGCGCTGAAATGTTGCTGGTGAGTTGACTAAGCCCATAGGTAGCATGTTGTAATGATATGTGCCAAATTTTGTTGTGAAAGCGGTTAATTCTTTGCTAGATTCTTCTAAAGGCACTTGATGAAATCCAGCTCGCATGTCAAGAGCAGAAAATACTTTGGCTTTGCCCAGAGTGCCAAGTAAATCATCTATTCTGGGTAATGGATATGCATCTTTCTTGCTGATTGCGTTAAGCTTCCTGTAGTCTATAACCATACGATATTCTCCGTTTTTCTTCTTCACTAAAATTACTGGTGCAGCCCAGGGGCTATTTGAAGGTGATATTATGCCTAGCTTGCAATATTTTTCTAATTCCTTTTTGAGATATTCGGCCTCTATAGGACTTAACCTATAAGGTCTGTGACTGATTGGCATGGCATCTTTATCAATAACAATCTTGTGCTGTATAAGATCCGTTCGTCCCATGGTATTGTTGTTCCAATCAAAGATGTGTTTGTATCGACTAAGTAGTGCATGTAGTTTCTTTCGTATATCCAAAGGTAAGTCTCCAATTTCCATTTTATCAAATAGGGCAGGTTCTAATAAATTCTCTTCCTTGCTACGATTATTTCTTCTGTTACTTATTTCAAATAAACATAATTCTGGATTAGGCTGTATGCTGTATGCTGACACGACCATATCTTGCTGTAAGTTGTATTTATCAAGTACTCCCAATTCTTCTTCAGGTTGGATCACAATTTCGGTATTCGTTCTGTTGAAAAATCGTATTTCAATTGTTCGTTTGTTGACTACAAGAGGTGAACATGGGTCAAAATATCCTTCAGCAGAGCTGAGTTTGGGATGTACTGTATCAAAAAGATAGATCCAGTCGCTTGATTCTTTTTCAGGTTTATCCAAAGTTAAGGTCATTGATGAATTTGCTGGCATTGTTATTCCATTCTTTGGGGCTTGAATAATGTGTGTTTCTTTGAAGCTAGTTATGGTGACTTCTTCTTTCTTGTCACTTTCTAATACCATTAGGGGCTGTTCTTCCTCTTCTTCAATTTCAACGTCTCCTTCTTCACTTTCAGATTCTTCATCTTCATCAGATGAGGTGCCTTCGTCTGAATCGCTGATATCGAATCGTACTTGTTTCGTTGGATTGTTGTTTGTTAGGCTTACTGGATGCTTGTATGTTTGTTGGAAAATTTGCATTTTTGGTATGCCGACATTCTTTCTGATAAACTGTATTTCTAATTCTGCCTTCTGTTTCTTATAATGGACCTTGAGTGTGCGACTATTAAAGTCTATCTTTGCCTTAGCACGATTCAACCAATTGTTTCCAAGAATAAGATGTGATGGGCAAGATGGTAGTACTTCAATTACACATGGTATTGCCATATCTTCTTTTACTTCTATGGGTACGTCATATACTAGTCCAAGAGTAGGTTGTTTGGTACCATTTCCTAAGGTGAAAACGCATTCTGATGAATCGTCGATTTCAAGCTGCAAGGCATCAGCGAGTGCTTTTGACATACAAGTCTTGGCAGCTCCACAGTCAACTAGTGCTTTGATTCTTTTATTTCCAATGAATACATGTGTATAGGCGGCAGTTGTATTGTATTCGTCATCTTCTATCAAAGCCATAGTTTGCTCAGTTTGTTGTACTTCAAGCTTCTTGTGTTTTGGTCTGCATTCGTTTACTAGTTTTCTTCTTAAAGAAGGCGCTACTGTAATTAAATCACCAATTTCAATGTCTGCTTTTTGCTTAAGTACATCGGATACGATGTCGTATTTAATTTCAGGCGGTGTTCTTTTTGCTCTAGGCCTCTTCGGCTTATCCCTGTTTTCAATAGGCAAGTCAGTATCCATTTCTGTATGATGCGCTTGAGTTTGCTGATATCGTTGAGAATTTGGTTGTGGTATAGGTGTTGGATTGATTTCTTCAATGTGAGATCGAGTAGTTACTCGCTTGGTAATAGAAGGACCTGGTGCTTGTTTTCCTTTATCAGTTGCTCTCCTTTTGGGATATGGTGCAGCTGTGATTTCAGGTGGGCGTTCTGGTCTCACTATTCGATAGAGATCATCGTGATGCTGTGCTTTTTGTTGTTCATTTTGAGTTAGCATGGCGTTCAATTGTGGTTGTGTGTTGTTAATTGTAATGGGTTTTGTAAAATTTTGGGTATTTGATTGACCATTTCCTTGTTTAAAGGCAACCGACCCATTTAGTTTTTTGGCTGTTGATTATATGGTTGTTGTTGGCTACTATGCTGATCATTATTTTTATTGTTATTGTTAGAACCATTGTGAGTGTTGCGATTATTGTGATAATTGTTGTTTCCATAGTCGGCATTATTGTTGTTCTGATAATCATTACCATATCTTCCATATCTATCCTTATAATAGTTAGAATTATTACCATTATTATAATTGTTACGGTTGTATCGGTTATAATTTCTGTTGGGCTGTTGACATTGATTGTTTAACTCCAATCGTATCGTTTGCTGTATGAGTTCTACTAATTCCTGTTGATTGTTGACCCTGTTGTTTGGATAAGGCGCATTATACTGTACATGCCTGTCAGAAACATCCATTGGTGTAAACTGATTATATTGAGTATGTCTGCCTGAAGTGTCCATAGTTGTTAATTGATTACTGTATAATGTTCCATTCGCAGGAGTTATGTATACAGTAGGTTGAGTAGCATCCACTAGTTCAATGTTGTGGTTGTAATTATTGTGAGCGTGATGGTGTTGGGGCTTTTCTTGATATATGAGAGCTTGATTTGCGTTTCTTGGTATGAAAGGGTTATCATACATAGCTATTTTGCGTGGTCGATTGGCGTCCCACCATCCTTCTGCATGGTTAAGCCAGTCTTTCAAAGTGTTGGAACTACTTTGTATGCAGAACTGTTTAATTTCGCGTAACAGTCCAGCACGGAATCTGCTTTCAATAATAGCCTCGTTATTAATTTCAGCCAAGTCGGCAGCTTCTCGTAGCCTTGCTAGGAATACTCTTGGGTGTTTTTGTTCGCCTTGGTACATTTCATTGAACTCAAGTTCATAATTTTGAATCAGTTCTGGTGTGATGTAATGCGACTTTAGTTCTGCAATAACCAAACCAAAAGTGATATCCGGGTTGTTTCTGATTAGTTCTTTTTCGTAATAGATTTTAGCAGGTCCACGTAGTTGTGCTTTAAGTATTGTTAATTTTCTTGCTTCATTCGTGACGTTATTTAAACCAAGGTAGGATTCTAGTACTTCTTGAAAGTGACGGAAGTCCTCTCCTTCGTAACCGTGAAATTCAATGATTGGAGTGCGGTTATTGTTTGCCAACGCGATTTGTCCGTTGAAAAAGGCCATGTCGATAATAGGAAGTTGATATAAAAGGTTGTTTAGAAATTCGAGTTTGTAAAGCTTGAGTGTTTTTGTTTAATTGATTGACGTTCTTTGTAAGTTCAGTTTTCTTTTTTTTTTT